TCTCTACATGTATTTGATTATTAATACATTTGGACGTATGCCCCTTATCTTGAGTTCTTGTTTTCTATTTCTTCCTACTTTTTCTATGTTTTTCCCCACTTCATCGCATTCCTTTTATTTCTTTCTTTCTTGAATGATGCATCTATTTTGGTTTCTTTTTAAATTTTTCTTATTCTATTCTCTATCCCACCCATCCCTGATTTGGAAGTGAGGTATCCTTTTCAAGTCTTTTAGTGCTTAACCTTGAAATGCTGCCATGCATACCTAGCTTATCATCTAAAGGGAATATGTTGTCTTCTTCCCCAACAAACAAAGACCACAGAATAATCACTTCCCTCCTGACTTACGTGCTGTGACTGTCTGATAATTTAGTTATTACCTTTCTGAACTCACAAATTACACATTATTATTATTTATAAACTGTTGTTTGGAATACCTACATATTTCCCATTTGTTCAATGTTCCTTTTCGAATCTGGGACCATATTCCTTATTCCTAAAGTATATTCTTTGCAAGAATGGGCTCGATAACAACAATTGTGAGAATGGTGCAGGTCTGGGGAGTGTTTCATTCTGTATCCTATGGGGCAGTTCTATTCCATCCTGTAGGGGCGCTATGAGTTGAAATTGACTGAACTGCACCTAACAACAATAAAGTACATTCTTTAGACGTTTCTTATAAGTATGTTTGTGGTAAATTCATTTAATTTTTGCTTATCTGAATAAATCCAAAACCAAACTAAACCCGTTGCCCTGGAGGTTAGAAATGGAGGAAGAGACTGTAACACTCTATCCATCATGATAAGAAATTTTTTCTTTATCCTAAGAAATACTGGAAGGTGTATCTGACTCTTATTCCTGTTCCCCACTTTTAATCACTCGGAATCTCTCGGTAGGGCAAACGATTAAGCACTAGACTACTAGCCAAAAGGCTGGCAAGTCAAACCCACCCAGAGGCACCTCAGAAGTCAGGCTTGGTGATCTGCTTTGGAGAGGTCATAGCCTTGAAAACCCTGTGGAGCAGTTGTACTCTGCACATGTGGGGTTGCCATGAGTCAGAACTGACACATCCACAACTAACAACAAACCAAACCAAACCTGTTGTCCTCGAGTCAATTCTGTCTCATAGCGACCCTACAGGGCATGGTAGAACTGTCTCATAGGGTTTCCAAGGAGCAGCTGGTGGATTCAAACAGCCAGCCTTTGGGTTAGCAGCTATAGCTTTTAACCACTGTGCCACCAGGGCTCCTAATTCTTGAAAGACTGTTATGCTAGGTATATAATTTGTTGTTATTGTCTCTCAGCATATTGAAGATATTATTTTATTCTTTTCTGGCTTCCATTGCTGCTGATAAGAACACTGCTCTCACTGCACACGTGTAATTTCTTTGCCGATAATCTGTCTTTTCTCTCTAGCTATTTTCAAGATCACTTTTCTTTAGAGTGCTGCAATTTTACTATGTATGGCTTTCTCTTTATTTAAACTGTGTGGCAAATTTTGTGCTTCTGGTATCTATGGATACCTTTTAACAGTTTTGGAAAATTCTCATTCACTATCTCATCCAATCTTGCCTCATTATCTCCTTCTGATAGTCTAATTAAACATATTCAGATGTCTTAACTTCTTAGTTTTTCCACCTCTTCTCTCGTCACTGCATTTTGGGTAATTTCTTCAGCTACCTCTTCCAATTCACTAATTCTTTCTTCAGTGGAGAGATTCAGTTGGAATCTATTGCTTAACACATCCATTTAATTTCTTTCAATTATTATATCTATTATATCTTTCACTTCTAAAAGTACAATTTAGTTTCAAGTATTCATCTTTGAGAATCTCTTGTTCCTCCACTCTACTTTCAATATTCTATTTCTTAAACACAAGAAAAATACTTACTTAATGCCGTATATCGGATGAATGCAATAGCAGTCTTTGATGTTTTTATTCTATAGTCTGCAGTTTCTGCCCTTTCTCATGGTGGTTTATTTCCTTGTGTGTTTAGTGATTCCTGATTGAAAACTTATGTCCCTTGAAACTTCATCTAACGAATTCTAAAGGCTGGGTTTTGAGATTATTCTTCCATATCAGATTTGTGTTCACTTCTGCCCAGGTACCTAGCAAATTTTCATGCTTTTTTCTTTCCTATTTTTGCCCCACCCATGTAATTTCAGCCTCTCAAACAACAGGAGCACAGGCTTAATATTAGAAATTTTCAGGGGGAAACATTTCCCCCACATTCCATCTAAAGCCAGGAATGAAACAGACAACAATCCCTACTGTCTCCTATATTATAGGTTTTATTAATTGTTTATCCACTGATGCTTTATCCACGTGGGTCCTGATTTTATGCAAGGGAGGGTCTTCTAATAGTCTTTCTTTTTGTTGGGACCCAGGGTTCCATGCATAGCCTTCCAACAGAATTATTATACATAGAGTTTGCCTGAGGCAGACTTTCATTTAGGCCTATTATCCCAGTGTAACTAATGATAATATCCCCTGGTTTGAATAATAGGAACCCATTGCCGATGAGTCCATTCTGACTCACAGTGACCCTATAGAACAGAGTGAAACTGTTCCCATAGGGTTTTCAAGGCTGTAATCTTTATGGAAGCAAACTGTCAGATCTTTCTCCCTTCAGCGGAGCGACTGGTGGGTTTCAACCACCGACGTTTTGGTTAGCAGCTGAGCACTTAACCACTGTGCCACCAGGGCTCCTTCTCAAACAATATACCTACCTTTAAACAAGGTTCTAGGCCACCAGGAATAATGAATGACCCCAGGGGCAAATGTCAGATACAGCCTTCCGGATTCACACTTTATTATTGTTTCCGGCCTCTGCTTATTTCTCTTTCTTGATAGACGGATCAACTACGCTTTTAACACGTTAAAAAAATTTTTTTTTAATCTGGCATTTTTAGTTGTTCTTTACAGGGTTAGTCTTATTTTCCTCTTCTCTGAACTTCTAATTCACTATATTCCTAGAAATATTAATGTTCATTTTATCTATTTTCCTCATATCTAGTAAGTGCCTGACACATAGAAGGAACTTCATAAATGTTTATTAAAAGAATGAATAATGTTGATACTTCTGTTTTAAACACTTTCTAAAATTTTGCAATGAACTTCATCTTTTGTCGGGGGAAAAAGGTTCTTTCTTTTTGACTCTGTGATTTCCCCCCTGGGAAGTTAACCTACAAACAGTGTAAAAGAAAAAAAGGGCTTCATGGACAAAGCACTTCATTACAACAGAATTCAAATTTGTGAAAAATTGCAAATAACCAAAGTTAAGGAAATGGCTAAGTAACATATGATACAGCCACTTGATGGAATGGTATATAACTATTGGACATGATATTTATGAACCATGTGGTTGGCCCAGAAAATGCTTATGACTCAGCACAAATGAAAAGCAGAATACAAAATTCCATGTGTATTATGGTTATAAATAGGATGTAATACAGACGAGTGGACATGAATCAGAAGCCAACTGGAAAGGACTGATTTAGAAAATCAAGGTGTGGGTTCCTTTTTCCTTCTTAAAACTTGCAATCGTTGTTATTACAGTTTATTTGGGCAACGCATATAAATTTTTCTTGGAATAAACTCTCTATGAATGCATATATGTACTCCCTCTCTGATACAACCAGAAAGGAACTGTACTTGATGTCATACAGGCCTGTGTTCAAATCTTTGTTCTGTCATTTAATATTATTGGTGTTCTTAACTAGTGGCCATTGAGTTGGCTCCCAGCCCATGGTGACCTCAGGCACAATGGAATGAAATGCTGCCCCGTACTGCGTCATCGACATGATCAGTTGCAGACTGAACCATTGTGATGAATTGGATTTTCACTGGCTGATTTTCAGGAGTGGATTGCCAGGCCTTTCTTCCTGATATCTTACTCTGGAAGCTCTGCTGAAACCTGTTCAACATCATAGCAACATGCAAGCCTCCACTGACAGATGGGTGGTGGCTGTGTATGAAGTGCATTGGCTGGGTATCGAGCCTGAGACTCCCACTGGAACTCCTCCCACTGTAGGTGGGACATTCTGACACACTCTGTAACTCTGCGTTCAGTCATTGGATGACTTTGGCCAGTGGGATATTACAAACGATTCAGGTTTTCCTCTCGTGCACTAGGGCTTCCTTTTGTAGCTCTGTCTTACCATGAGAACATGCCAGACTGGCCTGAAGGGACCTGGGAGACACTGGAGGGGAGCTGAGCTGGCCCAGACAACAGCCATCAGACCTGACCGCAAGCCAGTGATGAGCAGAGAACCAGCCAGCCAACCTGTGGACTCGTCAGCTAAATGGTTACTGATTCGGTCACTACTTGAGGAGTCTGTTATGCAGCATTACTTATGGCAGTAGATAACTGATATGCCCTGTTTTCATCTGCTAGGAATTAGGAATTACGTTTGATAGCTAGAGACCAATCATGAAGGCTTTCCTGTCACTGTCCATTCTCTAGAGACAGAATGAGACTTTTATGCTTATACCTTCCCCCACTCACATCTATCACAGCAGCTGCCATATACTTTTACACTCATTTCCTTACATGTTTCTCTCTTCCTCTAAACCAGGAATGACTTGAACATAGGAACTAAGTTATTCATCTCCATATCAATAGCCCCTGGCACAGAGTAGGCCCTCAATAAATGTTTTTGTTTGAATTAAATGAACAGATTTCAGGAGCTGACATGAACTGAAACAGCCAGCAGCAGGTGGCAAGAAGAAAAGCCACACAAGCCAGTTCCCCTGTGTCTAGTTATGCTGGAAGGCCTTATGCTTCCCTGAAAGCCCCAACGAGGAAAAAAAAACAAAGAAGGAAAGTGCATTCTTCCTGCTTTTCTGCATCCTTATCTCTCTCACCACGATGCAATACAAAGCTCCCAGCCATTCATCCCCTCGGCAGGGTCCCCCAGCTCTGGCTCCCTCTGCCACTGCAGGGCACCTCACCCCACCTCCCAGGATGTACCCACACCCCACCGTGGGCTTGTCTTTACCTTCAGATCAGACACATCTCTGTAGCACTGCTCAGAGCGGGTGTGGTCCGACAGCTGCACATTCCAGAAGCAGGGCAGCTGATACACGAGGAAAGGGTTTTGTTTGATGACAGCATTGAAAATATCCTGTGGATAAAAGCCAAAGTCACAGTCAAAACAGTCAGGTGGGTTCAGCCTATGGTTTTGGCTCTCAAGGCATTGCATCTCCTTGGGAAGGTCTTCTCTTGAGCCTCCTGCTCTGAACACGGGCTGGCTTGCACTGCGGGTTATTTCCCTTCCCTTCTATCTCTAGGAACCAAGCAATAATATTTGGGTAGAGATGGGGAATGCCCAGGGCCAACTTGAAGCTCATGGGTCCTGCTGGTCTCACAAAGCACCAGCCAGCGAGCTCACATGGGACAGACAGGAAGCGTCTTTCCCACCCTAGCCAGCACATGATAAATGAAGTATCTTTTCATCCCCTCTCCCCAGCTCATTGAGGAGCCCCATGCTATCCATCCTGAGCCTCCTGGAGAGGAAACTGCATGATGACGGAGACAAATTGCAGGTCCTCAGTTTTAGCAGCTATACCTGGGGCTTTCTGTGGACTCAGTGATGGATGCTCCTTGGATTCCTGCAGGCCATGGTGCCCAGAGTACACATTCCCCACTTCGAAAGCCAACTCTGGCCTGTCTTGGGAGACTCTACCTCTTTTGGGCTCTTCTCCAAGCCCCAGCACCAGGCCGTACTTATTAACTAGCTGCTGACAGGTGGTGCTGGGAGGTGACTTATGGGGCTTCGTGGCAGGAGATGAATGAATAAACTATCCTCATTGGACACGGACATACAATTGCTGGCTTTTGGGGACACACTTGAGTCATTGTGACCTGACTTCAAATATGATGATGGTGGGCGATTTCCCCCCGAGGTTTAAAACAGCTACCTGGGTATGTCTGAACTCATTCATTGTACCATAGCTCATGTTTGAAAAAGGAAATTAATTTCTAGCTTCTTGGGAAATATTGAATAATAACAATGCTAAGGAAAATAGTAAAGTAACCCTACAGAGTTTCTTCCTTCCTCTGTACAAGCAAGAAAGAAAATTTTGCAGGAATTCGACAAATTCGGCAATTGAATATTTAAGCAAAAGCATGGAGATTGAGCTTGCTCTTTGGAGAAAGAGGAAAGCAAAAAATGGAGATAACCCAGAGAAATCGTCTTTGCACTTCAAGATCACCTCCTATACCACAGGAAGATCAAAATCTACATGAGTTATCCTGGTAGATTCGAGGCCTAAAACTCAGGGCCCCTGCAGTTCAAAATGAGAAATGAGGGTTTTGTGAATTTTTGGTAATAGTTTGGTAGAGTCCAAGGACTTTCTCAGATAGCCTGGATTAAAAGGTGGTTTCTCCAGCCAACTGATTTGTTCTTTCTTTTTAAATGCAATCTCCTTTGAGTATAGGATCTCTGGTATAGGGGCGAAGCAAAAGGTTTTGCCTTAGAGTCCACCTGCCAGAGAGGCAGATGAAATCTATCAGGTAAACATGTTGTGGCCTTCCGGCATTTCACTGAGCAGGCACTGTACGCTCCACACTGCTGATGAAGACTGTAACCTCTGCTTAACACACCGAATTATCATCTACTTATGATTCTGTTTCAATAAACTCTGAGCTCTCTTAGGCCAAGGACTGCATCCTTGATTTACTCCATAATTCTATTTCTCAGCTTAGTCTTTAGGTGTTCAGTGAAAATTTGCTAAATGAACAAATGAATGAATGAAGGGAATGAACTAATGAGCTGAGTTGTTTTAGACCATCAAATATAAGGTAGGTCTAGCCAAGTGTACAGAATCACTCAATAGGTAGAAAAATAATTCAGACCCATCTACTCTTATGTTTCTTTGAGAAAGAGTACCACAGCACTCAGGAATAACCCCACCTTCTAACTTGCCACTCACCTGGTCAGCTAAGGATGTAGACAGCATGCCCATCAGTTCCCTCTCTGCAGTCAGCCTCCACATCTGCTCCCATTTCATCTTCCGTAGCTTATCCAGAAGCAGCAGGATCACCCCTGGCAAGAAGATTGAATAGATGAGGAAAAAACAGCAGTGAGACAGAAAAGCCAGGCACACCTGTGTTCAATGCAACCGCTGGCCATCAGGGATGGTGTCTTGAAGAGAGAAGAGACCACCAGGAGAAGTCGTCCCTCCAGAAGTTCCTTCAATGAAACATCACAGTCTGGGGCACACGTTTTGGAGACAGACATACCTGTGTTCAACCCCAGGCTTTGCCAGTTACCTGGTATGCGACTTGAAACAATCTTTCTGAAACATTCTCACTGTATGGAGAAGGGTAATACACCTACTCCTCACTTATCCATTACCACACTGACATTTTACATTTATACACTTACTCCTCACTTATCCATTATCTCACTGACACTTTACATTTACGACAATGGTAACAAATCTACTGTTATAGATTAAATTGTGTCATCGAAAAATGTGTGTCAACTTGGCTAGGCCATTATTCCCAGTATTGTGTGGTTGTCCTCCAATTTGTGATCTGATAATATTTATCCTATGTGTTGTACATCTTAACCTCTATGATGTTAATGAGGCAGGATTGGAGGCAATTATGTTCATTAGGCAGGACTCAATCTACAGGATTAGGTTGTATCTTGAGTCAATCTCCTTTAAGATATAAAAAAGAAGTGAGCAGAGAGGAGAGGGGGACCTCCTACAATCAAGAAAGTAGAGCCAGCAGCTGAACGTGTCCTTGGGACTCAGGGTCCCTGTGCCGAGAAGCTCCTAGACCAGGGGAAGACTGATGACAAGGACCTTCCCCCAGACTGACAGAGAGAGAAAGCCTTCCCCTGGAGCTGGCACCCTGAATTCAGACTTCCAGCCTCCTAGATTGTGAGAATAAACTTGTTTGTTAAAGCCATCCACTTGTGGTATTTCTGTTATAACAGCACAAGATAATTACGACATCTACTATCTGACTCTTCTGTGAATTAATGACGTAGGTGTGGCAGTAATGAACACTGAGGTGCGAGGTGAAAGTAACACTGGCTGTGATGTTTAAGGTTATGTGTCAGCTTGCCTGGGGCATGATTCTCAGTGGTTTAGCAGTTATGTAATGATGTAATTAGGCAGTTATATAATGATGTAGTCATCTTTGTTTTTGCATAATGCTGATTTTCGCATAACAACCTAGTCTTTGGAAACTAACCATGTCAATAACTGAGGAGTGAGTGTACAGACCTCAAAGGGTATTGTAAGGATTGAGTGAAATGAGCAAAAGAGCCTAGCACTGCACCTGGCACATAGTACATTTCTTATAAGCAGTAGGTTTCTTCCTCTTTTTTCCCCCAAAGATATGATAACCTATCTAGGTCATAATTAATAAATGGTATTTGTACAACATATATAATTTATTTTTACAGACAAAAAAACAACTCCTCTACAGCATTAATCCCTGGGTGGTGCAAACAGTTCAGTGCTTGGCTATTAACTGAAAGGGTGGAGGTTTGAACTCACCCAGAGGCATCTTGGAAGAAAGGCCTGGCAATCTACTTCTAAAAAAGTCCGACACTGCAAACCCTATGGAGCACAGTTCTGATACATATAGGGTTGACACGAGTCGGAGTCGACTTGACAGCAACCAGTTTGGTTTTTTTGGTTTCATGACATTCTTCTGAGTATATCTTTGCCAATCTGCTTTACAATTACTGACAAGGCATAAGGACTCCTGTCAGGGTTCCTGATTTCAACTAGGGTCTTTTTTGGTCTAGCCCAAATCAACATATATGGAACCTACAGTCAAGGCAGTGCTGATGCTGGGTCTTTAGGATGAGCTCCAAAAGCCTTTGGCTTCCTAACAAACTAATAATACAAGTTTGTGCTTCTTCCTCCTCTTTACCTTCTTTTTTTTTTTTTTTGTTGGTTTTTGTGGGGAGAGATGTGGGTGGGTAAGGGATAGCGAAGGGAGGGAAATTTCCCTTGCATACCTTTCTGTATTTTTTAAAAAATGTTAAAAACAACTAAATGCATTGCTCAGACAAAAAAAATAAATTAATTAAAAACCTAAAAGGAAAAGAACATTTTGACTTTGCTGAATAGCTTAGAAGCAGCTGTCTACCACCAGGTCCAATGGAGTGGGCAGAGAAAGCACACAGCATAGAATACAGAGAGCCAGGTGAATTTCCCCACAGGCCACTGCAGTTAATTTGTTAGATGAAATCGTAACACCCATGGGCCCCCAAATCAATCTTCCTTAGATGCTTAGAGCTCAGCAGAATGGGCAGTGGAGACAACAGGCAGCTAAAAATGACCTTAGTTGATATCTAGTACATACATTTCTAAGATTGTAGGAAAGAAATGGATTCCCCCAAATCACACATAAACGTCAACTCCAGGATTTTATACTTATTCTAGTGGCACAGATGTGGCAGAAAAGTATATTCACTATTAAACATAACGTGCTTGGGACAGGTAGAATTGAAATAAGAAATATGATTATGGGAAGAACGGTATACTGCAAAGAGATCTGAACATTTAAGTCCGAAGGACAGGGCACTAATATCTATTACATATCTGCGCTGTGCTTTGCTAGTTTTTTTTTTTTTTACCCCACATATCATTTTATTCCATGCTCACGAGATCGCTACAGGAAGATATAGTTATCTCTATTTTATAGGTGGGGAAACACTGAAGCTCAGGAACGCTAAGTCAGATATTTCTCCAATTCACAGCTCAAAAGTAGCTGTGCCAAGATTTAAATTTGGATTTTCCTCATTCTAAAGCCAGTGTTTCCTCCACTCTTCATTCACCAAACAACCCAGAGCCAACGTGGCTTGAGCCATGAGACTCAGGCCAAGGATCTTTCCTTTTCCACTCTCAGTTTCTAGGTATGTAAAAGGAGGAAAATGCTACTTGCTGTGCACCCCTCAGAGAACTCACGTTCTAGGGAATGTGCTGAAAATGTTTAATAACCAACTCTCCTGGGAGGGGGCGGGTGAAAAACAATCTGATCCGTAGCCTTTGCCCATTTCCTTGGTGTAAACGTTCCAGCCATGGTGGATTTCTGGTTACCAATGTAATGTCATCGAACACTGCGTTGGGAAGAAATGGATACAACTGCCCTCCTGAGCCAGTGAGAGCTAGCTCCAGCACACTGCTGAAACTGTTCTCCAAGTATGGAAATGCTTTTGTTATTATTATCAGCCACCATCGAGTGGGCCCCCAACTCATGTGGCCCCATGCACACCAGAATTGGATCACTGTGCTCCACTGGGTTTTCACTGGATGATTTTTGGATATAGATCGTCAGGCCTTTCTTCCTAGTCTGTCTTCGTCTGGAAGCTCTGCTGAAACTTGTTCAGCATCATACCAACATGCAAGTCTTCACTGACAGGCAGGTGGCAGCTACGCATGAGGTACATTGGCCAGGAATCAAACATGGGTCTCCCGAAGCACTTTTGGAAACAGTATAATTCACCACAAACATATTTTTTGATTGCTTTTTGGGAAGAGAAAGAAGAGAAAAATTTACAAAGTTACAAATCAAGATAATAGCGTGATGTGAGTCACTGGCAATGGATTCCAGTTAAACACGTGAAAGAGAATGTCATTAATCTTACTGCAGAAAATAATTCTAATTAGGTTAGACGTTGTTGTTAGGTGTCATCAAGTCAATTTTTTACTCATAGAAACCCCATGTGACAGTAGAATTGCCCCACAGCACTTCCTAGGTTGTAATCTTTATGGAAGCAGATCACCAGGTCTTTCTCCCATGGAGTTGCTGGGTGAGTCTGAATCACCAGTCTTTCAGTTAGCAGCCAAGCACTTAGCCATTGAACCACCTGGGATCATTTATTAGGTTGGATAAAACCAAAAAACCAAATCTACTGTTGTCGAGTCAATTCTAACTCATAGCAACCCTATAGGACATAGCAGAACTGCCTCAGGGTTTCCAAGGCTGAAATCTTTACGGCAGCAGACTGTCTCATTGTTCTCCCGTGGAGCAGCTGGTGGGTTCGAACCGCTGACCTTTCGGTTAGTAGCCGAGTGCATAACCACTGAGCCACCCAGAGCTCCTTAATTAGGTTGGACAGATGCTCCAATATATAGAAAAAGTGGTGGTGGTGGAGGGGGGCTTAGAAGTGATAAACAATAATGAAAGATACGAATGTACAATTTGAAGAGAAGCCTCCAGAGAGGTCAGCGTTAGATCTATCGGTCTCTGGAGACTGAGCTGAGAATTGATGCTTTTAAATGGTGTTAAGACTTGGCGAGTCCTAAATGGCAGATGCGATTCAACACTGTCTGCCAGTCTACTTGAAAAGAGGGGGGTGTCTAGTAGAGAACTCTAAATGCAGAAGACAAACTCCCTTCTCCCAGTTTCCTAGCCTTTTGTGTGACTTTAATTTGATTATTTAAATTATGAATAATTTCAAACTTACAGAAAAGGACAGATTAATATAACAAATACTAACCAATTGGATTTAATAAATGCTAATGTACTGTCATACTGGCTTTTAAAAAATAATAAGATGTTACAGACAAATCAAAAGTTCCACCATCTCATTCTTTTCTCCCCTTCCCCTGAGGCAACCACCATTCTGTGGTGGTTGTGTTTCATTTCCATGCAGGTTTTTATATATTTATTTGCGATGCATATGGTAATAAACAAATGCAGTGTTTTTAGTGGGCTTCGTATTGCATACTTCCTATTGTAATTCACCTTTTTACCCAATGTTATGTCTTCAAGTTTAACCCTGCTAATATTTCTAAATCTAGTCCATTCATTGTAATCCCTTTATTTGTTGTATAAATATGCCACAATTTATCCATTCCGCTACAGAAGGACATTTGGGTTGTTTCCAGTGTTTTTGCTATTATAAAAAATGCTGCAATAAATATCCTAGTCTCAATTCTTGCACATGTGTGAGAGCTTAACCAGGGCAAAGGATTCAAAGTTGTATAGGGATTACTGTGCTGAAGCACGCTTCCTGTCTGGACACATCTTGAAGTCCTCCGTCTTCCTTGTCTCTTACACCCAAGCCAT